TTAAAAAATAATAAGTTAAGTACAACAGTCCAGTAGGTTTTGCTGCATTGGAAAAAAACATATTAGTAACGCTTTTTCAACAAGCAATTGTTATACTCTTAGTGATTTGTAGAGCGTCAAATCACAATGTTATTGTACTGTTTTAAATTGTAGCTTTTATTCATTCATGTAAAACATTTATTACAATTTTATAATAAAATGTATAAAACACTGAGTTCGAGATTCAAATCACAAATCCATCCAAGCTAGAAAACTGCAAATCCGAATATTTTTGTTTATAAAATATTTACTTTCCATTCAATAAATATTCCAGTCATCTAGTTTTGGATTTGGGGAAATTCATTCTCCTTTTCCCATAAATACAGATTGCCGTATTATTTAATAATCAAACAAAACAGCATGTAATCAAAGAACGCTTGTATCCGCCATATGTAATATTGTCACGTGACATTGTTATGTTTTGTTTCGCTGGGGAAGCGTTTATTATACATAATAGAACTCCATTGTAGTAAGCCATAACTATGAACAATATCATGTCCCAAATAAATAATCTAATATGTAGATCTGCAATTGGTCACATGATGGTCCGAACATTATTTGTATGGCTCTATTTGTTGACAGCAAATACCGCTAATAATTATCTTGGATAAAATACCTCGTTTAGTAAACGAGGCAATTTTACCCAGCCTCGTTCTGAACAAAATACCTCGTTCCAAAATCAGGGCAATTTAAAAAAAACACGTTTTGGAACTCCAGAGAAACGAGGTATTTTTTTTACCTCGTTACAACGAGGCAAAATCGGGGCAAAAATTTTGACACGTTTTTGCCTCGTTTGGACAGAAATGCCGAACGAGGCATTCTGAGGTTTATAGTGATAATAACATCATTTTTGGATTTATTGGGGTCGACTTCCTATATGTCTGTAATACATTTATAGGCCAAAAAGTCGATAGTTAACGAGATATCTAACAATCTAGCCGCATTTGGCGGCCATTTTGTATTTATGCTAATTAGAAGGTCAAAAACTCAAATTTCGGCTTGGGAACATGGATATTCGTATTCAGCACACCAAAATCATTAAGAAAAGTCATGTTCTAAGTAAATCCTTTTTCCGGAAATTTAACCAGTCTATCCAGTTTCCTCTCACAGGAAAGGCCCTTCGCGTCCGCTGAGATAAATAAAAATGAAAAATAAGACTTGTGCGCGATATCACCTTCGGTGGAAGCGGACGTTAAACACTAAGAACAACAACCCACCCTCTCTTCTCACGACAGCGATATTAAAGTGATTTTTAGATATACAAGAACCTTTTATTATTTTAAAACTGTGTTTTAAAGTGACTTTTAGATATACAAGAACTTTTTATTATTTGTTTTTTTTTACCTATCTTCTATATATTACTAATTCAGATGTAAATAAGAAAAGTCATGTTCTAAGGAAATCCTTTTTCCGGAAATTTAACCAGTCTATCCAGTTTCCTCTCACAGGAAAGGCCCTTCGCGTCCGCTGAGATAAATAAAAATGAAAGATAAGACTTGTGCGCGATATCACCTTCGGTGGAAGCGGACGTTAAACACTAAGAACAACAACCCACCCTCTCTTCTCACGACAGCGATATTAAAGTGATTTTTAGATATACAAGAACCTTTTATTTTTTTAAAACTGTGTTTTAAAGTGACTTTTAGATATACAGGAACTTTTTATTATTTGTTTTTTTTTACCTATCTTCTATATATTACTAATTCAGATGTAAATAAGAAAGGTCATGTTCTAAGGAAATCCTTTTTCCGGAAATTTAACCAGTCTATTTATGTATTGGACGTTAAATTTGTAATAAACAACAAAACAACAGCAAAAGAACACATATGTATAATAATATCATGGCCTTGACTAATAATTCCCTATTGTCAAAATATAAGGTATGGTATGAGTTTATTTAAAACGCAAATTAAATTGATTATGAATATTGCGAGAATAACAGAACATGGGGTTTAAGGCGAAGGATAAATTCTATTGTCTAGAACACTCATGAGAGGAATATTCCTACTGTTCATTTAAGGATAATATTCACGCCATCAAGCTTAGTAACCAATGATAATAATTAATTACGTAATATTTGTGCAATTAAATAATAGATAGCCGAAATCATAATTGCAGTGTCAAATGTGTAGGGCAATTATATATAGACAAGTAATAACAACAAACCAGAAACCATGTATGGCAACCACAAGGTCAAAGGCATGACAACAACAAGATCAATCAAAGGCAAGGTGTAACTAACGGATTAGTGAAGCAACTGATGATTGGCATTAATTAAAGATACATTAGTTAAGAGTTTAATAAAGAGTTGGCCATTCTTGGTATAATAATTCAAAAATAGATGATAAAAAAAAGAAAATATTGAAAATTTCAGTCAAATTACTTTATTATAAAAGGAGTTGTCACTGTTGGAAGTTTGCACTAGAAATAGGCATCAACTGTATCTGCACCGTCTAGGAGAATTGCCGATCGTTTGATTGACAGACGATAACTCCACTTACATATTCTCGATTATCAAGTAACATTCTCAATGGCTATAAAACCCTCGCTTGGTAGGCCTTTCATCACCAGTTTCCGATATTCAGTAACTAACATTACACGTTAGTTTGGTCGGCCATTTCTTGATTTAATTTTACATGGACGGCTGTTTAAATCCAAGCTATACCCAAGCCATCCGAGGGTCTGCAGAGTTGATTTTGAGCTTGTCATGTAAAGGTCTAATTAATAATTTCTATAATATCTGAAGCCTAGATAAAGACTTGCAATAGGCTGATTTAGCTCTTGCATAATGTATGTTTAACATTAATAATTAATCATAGGGGTCAATAATTTAGACAGACAACCAATAATGACAAATCAGAAGCCATACATGAGGCGAGGGTATATCAAATGAAAGTAAAAGACTGATAATAGGTAGTAACAAATGAACTGAGATTTTAGCGATTGAATTTTCGGCCTAGCCTCGATCATCATTACTAAAATCTGTACGATAAAAAACACAGTCTCGATTATCCATTTAATGATTAAATTATGAATGGAAGTCGAACAGGAAATCGAAACTTAATCCAATACACATCTCAGGCTAGAGATGCAACCGAGAGTTGATTATGGTCTGGATAAGTTATTTCTAAATAACAATGTCTAATTAATAATTTAGATAACATTTCAGGCCTAAAGAAAGACCTGCAATTGGCAGATTAGCTCTTGCATAATGTATGTTTAACGAAAATAAAATATAATATTAAAATGCACACAAAACAGCCCAATCCACGGGATACACCCTTTCAACCGATTGAGACACACATTTTACACAGGTTAAATAAAAGAAACGGCTAACTGGTTTACTAAATGATACTTAAACAATTAGACTATAATTAAGTGGAATATTATTGATGGATTATGAATATCGGAAAGCATACACCACAGTCTTAACCACTGGCTCCTAAATGATTACAGTCCCACACACGTCCTCCCAATAGATACACACGTTCCACAAGTTTAGTGTGGGGAAACCGTATTAGTAACAGAAAACTAGTTTTATACACATGCCATGTATATTGAAATTAGTTTTGCAAGTCGATTACAATATTTGCACAAATTAATACACTTGATTCACGAATTAAATAAATTTAAGCATGTTGGAAAGTCAAGGCATGTACACATTAGTAACTGTTCTTCCATAAGCATGTGTTCCAGTTTTTTGCTCTACCCAGTAACTAAATGCATCTTAAAGGATTAGAAATGAACTGTTGGATTGTTAATTCTGTGTGTAACCATAAACTAAACAAAAAAACAATAAATTCACAACGTGGGATATTAGAGTGCCATTAAAAATATGTCTTAATCATAAGTAAAGAATTACAAATACAACCAGTGACAATACTAGACGATCACAAGGCTCTTAAAATATGTGGCAGAGAGAGTATGCGTCACACGTTGGGTTTGGCTTTCCACATCAAACCAGAGACACATATCATTGCATAGTGCTGCATCAGTAATGGAAACTAAATTTGAATTAACCAATCAGAAATAAGCGCTTCCCCAACCGCCACGTCTTCCGAAGAGAGACAAATGGGGTTTAACGTCCACTCGACACAAACCGTGTCATTTCGGGAATAACATATGGTTCAATTTTATTTCAATAATGCGCTTCCGCGTATGTGTCTTTAGCAGTAGGAGGAAACCGTTGGACCCGCAGAAAACCCACGAGGTTGGACAGGCGACCCTACTCCTTGTCACGTAGAAGGGGGGTTGGATGGCTGAATGGTTAGCGTGCGCGCGCTGTATCATAAAGTCTGTCATTGAGTCGACTGGCGTGGTTTCGAATCCCCGGTTGTACGTGGCAAGGAGTAGGGTCGCCTGTCCAACCTCGTGGGTTTTCTCCGGTTTCCTCCCACTGCTAAAGAACCCTACGCGCAAGCGAATTATGTAAATAAAATTAAACCATGTTAGTCCCGAAATGACCTAGTTTGTGTCGAGTGGACGTTAAACCCCATTTCTCTCTCTCTCTCTCTCTCTCTCACGTAGAACAGGGGAATCGAAACCACGTAAGTTGATTCAATGTCAAACCTTATGATACAACTCACACGCGCTAACCATTCGTCCAACTTCTTTCGGTCCAACGAAGTCAGTATTCAGAAATTGATATTGCTTAAATAATACCGCTAGGAAACGATCCATTTAGTGACATTGGGGGTTCTATATAAATTAAATACAGTCTAGTCTCCAACAAAAACGGATGGAGCGTGTTACATGTAGTGAGAATTGTGAAATAATCGGAGAAGAAAGGTCTTCACTGAGTCGAAACAAAATGGTGTGTGATATACGTGGTATACTAGACAAGATAATGGATGAAATTTTAATCTCTTCAAATACCTTTGGCCCAGCCACCTGTACAGTGTAGTAGAACATAACAAATCTTTAAAAATAGAAAATAAATATTTAAAATAAACAAAGCTCACTTTTGCAGCAGGATTCACACAGATGAGCCTCTTTTACCTCTGAACAACTGATGCATCTTGGATTTCGCATCCCTCCATATCGTGACCAAGGCCACCCACTCCTTTGTCCCGAGATAGTCACAACAGTGGTCAAGACCATTGCAATGCACAAAATAACACGCATGATGATAATATTGTATAATACTATACTATACTATAGCACAAGAGTACGTGAAACAATTAGATTGCTGAACACAAGAGTTTATCGTTTGTTTTATACACAAATACCTGTTCACAGGTGTTCTTTTGTACATTATGTTTTAGGGAGTTCTCCAAACAAATAATATGCATCAGCTGTGTTTGGAAATAAAATCAGTAAATTTTATTTGGTCGTTAATTTTAGATCTAAAGGTTTTAGCAATCAACTTCTTGTCGACATGTTATTTTCATTTTATTCCCGGAAGTAATATTTTATATTTGTGCTGTTAGTGTTTTCCTCCTTCATCGTGATTGGTTATTGAAGATAAACGTGGCTGAACGATCGTTATTGTCAATGCATGAGGCACGGTATACCCAGGCCACACTACAATAATAGGAAACAAATTCAGTTGAATGCTATAATTTGGGTTGTTAGTGTTTTCCTCTTCATATCCGTGATTGGTTATTCAAGATTAACGTAGCTTAAGGATCGTTATTGTCCATGATGCATGGTATACCCCATATTCCTGAAGCAGTGGCCCAAGAAATCCCTCTCTGCCACTTGCTGGATTGACTTCTGATACTTGAGCTTTTGAGGGAGTGTCTATTCTTCCCGTTCAATCAAATATATCCCACGTACAGCAACATGATAGCCCTTCGTTTAATCTGGGTCTTCAATAAACTTTTGGACAGTGGTTTAAGGAATTTGAAAAAAAACGGTGAAAGTCTTGTTCGTCTCCAAACAGTATTGTATACATTGTATCCGTGTTGATAGCCCCGTTTGTCACGCAATCATTTCTCCTGCAATATTCTTCTATGCACTGGTTAATTGGGCATAATAAAATCGCGAGTCATGACGTAACGTTATGTAAACATATTTGGTCCAATTTGGAGCTTTGTTTAAAGCGTAATGACATTGTTACGCAGTTAGCTATTGGTTGTTAATTGGACTATTGATCAGTCATAATTTGGAACAGACATTTGCTTCCATTAAAGCAGTGTTTAGTGGGATTAGCTCTAATCAAACGAAACACTGCGGGGAGTATGGGTATATCCAGGCTAATGACTGTACTATACACTAACATGAAGAGAATTCAGTTTAATGCTATAAATTATGCAATTCAAACAACAAAAAAGCACGACTAGTCATGAATGTACATCCACCGTCATGTGAGATTTAAATATTCTCTTCAACCTGCCATCACCAAGAATTACGTGATTGGTAATACAGTAACATTATGACCGTATAGTCCGTTATACAAGAACTGAGGACGCAGACTTATGAGGAATTCAATAATAAAACAACACTCCCTCCCCCATCCCGCTTGACAGTAGCACCGGAAATCGCTGAAATTGACATAATTATGTTCAGTGGTACATGCTAGAATAGATTTGACGTATTTGAGCGATGGCATACCATACTGAACAACCCAGAACTAAACGAAATGAGGACACCCTTTGGGAAGGCACGGAACATGGCCACACTGGTAGGAAATCTCATCGAATTAGAGCGTTATCAACCATCTCCAATATTTTCTGCTTTTGCATTGTTGAGGGCAATGTTGGCTACCCTGCCTACCCACATTTATACATTTAGATATCGGCTAAAATCGATAGTAAACACGTGTTTAAATATTTATATCCTCAACAGTCTATAGACTAGTTAATGATTGGTTAGCATATTCAATTACCAGGAAATATAGATTTATTACGTATCTTTACCGATTATTACAGGGAAACATTATTATCACTCTACAAACAGCTATAGTCCCTTGTAAAAATGGTTCACCAATCTCTGCTAGGGTTACTGCCATCTCTATGTTTTACACACCAACTTTTGGACTTTGAAGGAATTATTAGTGAGCAGAAATTCGCCCATGTATCTGTTACCACCCGTCACTTCAGTCAGTTATATAAAGGGATAACCCGTGTTTTCCTTTTGCGTTCGTGACTTCCGATTGTTGAAACATTGATTACGCATCTATCGTAGCAATGATCTCTGTGATAAAATAACATTTGGCACGCGTTTAACCAGTTCTATCACATATGTGATAATGACTGGCACCAATATTGTGCTTTAAGCTCGAAATGTTAATCATTGAACTTAATCAAGACATTCACCTAATAAGCATCTACATCATGTTAAAACATTCTACCTCAATTAAAAGCAGAGTTGTTCTGTTTCAAAGTCTTGACCAATCAAATTGCTTGTCTCACCTTAGCCTAAGCAGAACATTCTCATCATCGAACTTAGACAAGGTAATGATATAATGAATCTATACTCAGAGTTTCATCACTCTCACTTATATCATCAACCAATCAGATTGCTTATCTTTGTTTACAGTAAGGAGACAATGTTTATCATCGAACTAGATCAAGGCATTCACCTAATGAACGCCTACCTCAATTAGAAGGCGAGTTACTGTGTTCCAAAGTCTCGGCCAATCAAATTGCTTATTGCTCTGCTTACCCTGAGTAGAAAGTGCTCATTATCGAACTTAGTCAAGGTATTTATGTGATAAAACTATACACCAAGTGTCCTCACTCTCACTAAATTAGAACTAAAGTAATCGTGTCCCAAACACCAATCAATCAAATTGCTTATCTCTGCTTACCCTAAGCAGAAAATTCTCATCTTCATACTCCATCAACGCATTCACCTAATAAACACCTACGCTAAGTGTGAACATTCTAGCTCAATTAGAATGAGAGTTATGGCTCTGCTTACCCCAGCAGAAAATGCTCATTATCGAACTTAGTCAAGGTATGTATGTAATAAAACTATACACAAAATTTCATCACTCTCACTTAATTAGAACTAAAGTTATCGTGTCCTAAAACATCAACCAATCAAACTGCTTACCCTTTGCAGAAAAAGCTCATCTTCGAACACCATCAAGGCATTGATCCAATAAACACCTACACCTAGTTTGAACATTCTACCTCAATTAGAAGATAGTTATTGTGTGCCAAAGTCTCGGCCAATCAAATTGCTTATCGCTCTGCTTAACCTAAGCAAAAAATGCTCATTATCGAACTTAGTCACGGTATTGATGTAATTGAACTATACACCAAGTTTCATCACTCTCACTTAATTAGAACTAAGTTATCGTGTCCCAAGCAGAAAATGCTCATCTTCGAACTCCATCGAGGCCATGGCCTAGTAAACCCCTACACCAAGTTTGAACATTCTAGCTCAATTAGAAGGAGAATTATTGTGTCCCAAAAAAAGTGACGGACAGACAGACGGGCGAGCCCATTTTAATAGTCCCCTGCTTTCTTCGAAAGTCGGGGGACAATAAATAATATCTAACCCTTCGGTTGAGACAAAAATATAAGATCGGACGAATCATACAATTTTCCGTTACCTGCCTAGTTTTCATACACGCGAATTTCCAGTACGATGAAAATAATACGCAAAAAATGCTGTTTTTATTTCCCACATGCGGATAAATAGCATGACATAAATACGTGTGGACTTGCGCCTGTAACCGGGTATGAAAATATATTTTAATCTTATTTACTTCTACTTCTAGGAATTTATTAAAGCAATAGATATGTTTTATTTATTGATTATTTGTTGCATATCATAATCAAATTTTATCCATATGGTGGATTAACACATCGGGAAACAGAATAAGAAAATAAAATTTATTCAAGTTCTGAACATGTTTAATTTATTGATTTATTCGCATGGCTGCCATGTTGCATATCATAATCAAATTTTATACATATGGTTGATTAAGCTACCAGGAAACAGAATGAAACAATAAAATTTCACGGCAAAAAGTATATAGAGTTAGTCCAGCCCTTATTTACCTTCTCAATTCACAATTATAATACCAACTTGACAATGGGGTCCGCCGTCGACATTCCACGCTAGGTGGCGCGCGTGTATTAGGGGGGATACCTATCAACATGGCAGACGACTACCGACTCGGCTTTTGAAATGTTCTGAACACAAACGTGGTCATATTTTCAACCTGGCTGGACTGCTGGAGGTTTAGCTGGGTATAGCCTAGGCCTCGCTATGCCAAATCAAAACAAACCGGCATGGGAATTCCCGGATATGACCTGCTAAACCTTTGACCTGCCAAACGAGCTTGCGAACAATACCTGCTTTATGTTATTAGAATAAGTAATTCTAGGAAGTTTAAATGAATTATTTATGAATATTAATCATGCGTGGAATCAATGGAGGAAACAATAATAGGGTACCGGTAGGCGTATTTAATCTACTATAGTCTAGGCCTTGCTGGTTGTAATAATTTTATAAGCTTATTCATATGTCTATTATTATTATTATGTTAACCACTTTCGTTATCGTGGCCTATGTAAGATTTTGCCGATAACTTTGAATTTTATAGTTTGGTATGTGATATAATGTGTGGAAATAACAATAGGCTATGTTGTTAATGTAAGCCTTGTTGCTATTTTAAAACTAACACATTTCGATATGAAGACCCTAAAATAGCCGTAATTTTAAATTCACTAAAAGCTGTGTGAAAAAAATATTGACATTTGGCATGTAGGCCTGGTCAACTTTTTAAGTCCATTAAAGGAGCCAAGTCTTCTACATTGCAAACATGACTTTTTGTTCAATTTAAATTAACATTGAGGTTGTTATCTTACCGTGAAAAGTTGGACTTCTTATCCAATATTTTAGACAAAATGAAAATTTTAAAATTAGCACACGAATCGCGTACCCTAGGCTGCTTTTGAGCGCCATTTGGATGAAGCAACTCGATGAACGAGGCTAATCATATCTCATGTAGGAGAATACTACCGGTGTAGACTGGAATAACCAGATTCCAAAGACTGCCATTCAATTCAGACTCTTTGCATATTTCGCCAAAAATAACTGATTAGAAATTACAATAAAAACAGAAATGATTGAATGTAAATCAGTTTACATACATTCATATTACATTATCATATGTGTTGCGACCCATTTGTTTCCATTTATAGATGCCATAGAATAGCGTTTTAGCTCCTTTAAATGTTGTTTTTTTTCTTTCAGATTAGAATCGTATGACCGCAATGACAACTTCAGGGGGCCTGTCATTATTCTTCCTGATATGGTAAA